GAAAGTGCTCAGAATTCCAAATATTTGTTCACAGAAATTAATAAATTCTGATTAACTGAAGTTTTCCTGTCTTTCATGTTAGGGCACCTCACCCCACAATCTGTTCTGCAATGGAATTTTCTCAGAAATTCATGCTGATGACAAGTTCTTTGGAAAGTCTTGAAGGTTCCAACTTCCATAAAACCTATTGCGATTTCACCATCCATTGTTCATATTGCCTGTATCCATTCATTTGGCCTTGCTGTGGTTTGAATGTCCTGTTCTAAACTAATGATGAAATTTAATTGCAATATGTATTATGACTGTATTATGTATTAATACATAATATGTATTATGACTGTAATATGACATATTGGGTCATATGTATTATGACCCAATGACCTTCCAGAGGTCATTGGGTCATAATGGTTCTGCCTTCATGAATGGATTAATGCCATTTTTTGCAAGCATGGGTGAGTTGTTGTAGTATTTAGTTTCTGATTTTTAAATGGGGGTAGTAGGGTGGTTTAAGCCTTTTCTCTTCTCTATTTTTCCAGTGTGCTTGTTTGTCCCTCTGCTATACTATGATGCTCCACAAAGGCCCTGCCAAGAAATTGGCACCATGTTCTTGAAGTTCTGAACTTCCAGTATCACTAGTCAAATGAACTTCTACTATGTTTATAAATTATCCAGTTGTGGTATTATCACAGCAGAAAACAGACTGAGACAAGCCCTAAGCATTTACTTCCTGGTGCACATATCTATGTTACAGGTAAGGCTCCATTGTCCCTATATTCCGCCAGCATCTTAAGAGCAGGAAACTAACTTTCTTTCTTCCTTTATTACCTTCACATTTTTATGGCAATAATAAAGGTAAGTAAACATACAAAATGCAAATACTTAGAACCTAGCATATGAGGTCCCTGAACACTAATTCCATGGAGACTTTGTCAGTCACAGTGAATAGTCAACATTTAGGATGACATTTTCCCTACCTCTCATAAGTTTATATCTTATCCCCAAAAAAGAACATATAAAATATTTATAGTTTTACTGAAAACAATTTGCAGGTAGTGTATAATCCAATCTCTATTTAATTAATATTTTTGCTTCTCAACATTTGTTGAACATTTGCTGTGTCAGGGCAATGCCATGTAAGTTGCTCAGGTGCAGAGAGGAAAAAGGAAAGGGAAAAGAGAGCATGTTGATTAAGACAGGCTTGCAGCCATAGAGAATTAATAAATCTGTAGAAGTCCAATATGATGATATTGTGTTTGCATAAACCAATACTGTTAGAGCTGAGCAAATCACAAAAATGTTCTCTAAAGCAGGGAATGTGTAACTAGGAGTTTTCTAGACAGTAGAGGAAATGAGCTTTCTTGCCAGGGGAAATGGCAAGGAAAAAAAGGTAAATAAAAAAGAAAAGATCAAATATTTCTAATGGCTGTTTTTATAAGATCAATAATGTCCCTTCAAAATTCATATATTGAAACCCTAACCCCTAGTACTTTAGAATGTTGACTACATTTGAGATAGAGCCTGTAAAGACATGATTACAGTAAAATGAGTGGGCCTGATACAATCTGACTGGTGTCCTTATAAGAGGGAGTGTGGCCGCACAAAGAGACATGACAGATGCGTATGCAGAGGAATGGTCACGTGAGGACAGAGTAAAAGAACGCCTATCTGCAAGTCAAGGATAGAGGCTTCAGAAGAAACCTAAACTGCTGCTGTCTTGATCCTTGGACTTTCGGCTTCCAGAGCTCTGACACAATGCATTTCTGTTGTCTAAGCCACCAGTCTGTGGTATAGTATTTGCATATAAACTACTCACAGCCTCCCTGACACCTTAAGTCACCTTTACATTATTATAGTAACTGATACAATTTAGTTACAACAGTATAGTTGTTATACTATACTGTTTAGGGAATAATCACAAGAGGAAAAAAAGTCTGTGTGTGTATGGTACAGGTACAATCATTTTTCTAACATTTTTGTTCTACAGCTGGTTGAATTCAACAATATTTTGTTATGGAAGCTGTAGCGTAGATCACTACAGCTGGATTTTGGATGCCCAGGTACTTGTGGCTCCTCCTTGCACTCAGATAACATAGAGAATACACTGACCCACTATTTTATTATGGTCCCCGTATGTCAGTGTCTCTCCTAACAGGCTTGAAAACAAGTGCCAGTGAGCTTTAGCTTGAATGTCTCCAGTACTTTGTTCAGTGTCCGGCTCACAATGAGCACCCAAAATACTTTTGGTATTTATTTTATTGTGCAAACATGTGCAATATGATTTCATTGGACATGTGTGACCAATAAAAATATACATCTGTACTCATCATCACTTTAATGGCTGTATTTAAATGACTATAGTGACTATTTCAACAGCACAATGTGTACATTTATTATTGACAATTGCTTTTACAATAATGTCATTAAATTCCCAAGAAAACTAACAATGTGCTTTAAAAGTGACTTTATTAAATTTATGGATAATTTTAGGAGAATCAACATGTAAACATATTAGATTTTTATCATATAATAGGAGATAGCTTCTCACTCATCGGTGGCTTTTTTAAAACAACTACTTTGTAATTTTTTGTAATTTTCATTTCTTATTAAATATGCTCTGTAGTTAAATTTTTCTTGTCCTAATAAAATCTGCTATTATATTGTCTAGCTGTTGTGGGTCTATAGGAAAACTATTAATTTATACATTTATTTTGTATCCTGTCATCTTACTGAACATAAGTATTAAAGGTTTTAAAATTTATCTAATTGGGTTTTCTGGGTAGACAATTATATCATCCACAGGAGATAATTTTATCCCTTCAAAAAACTATTTTACTTCTTTTTCTTTTTCATTGTATCAGCTAGAAGTTTTAGAAAAATGTTAAATAATATGTATTACATTCGGCTCCCTTTGTCTTTCAGTATCTATAATCTCTACTTTTTGCCCATTAATTTCATATAAATTTTCCTATTGCACTAAACAATAAAAGAAAGTTTTCTTTTAATACTAACTTCCCACTTTATCAACAATAAATGTTGCATTTTATCAATTACATTTTTATCAACTACATATCTATTGATTTGTACTTTGATATTTTGGAACAATTATGTGCAATTATAAGCATTTTATTCCAAAATCTAATTTACCCTCATCAGTATAGCTCAAAATCTTGGCACAATGCCTTTCTGTTGATGGGAAAGGACATGATATTTCTCTTTTTGGGGGATGCAGAAAAAGACAAGCTGGGCAAATTAGGTCAGATCCACAGCCAAACTGAAACTATGGCAGCCTATTTGTCCCATATTATCACTTAATGTGAATGGCTGAAGGCATCATATAAATTTCTCCTTTGACCTACTGATACAGATACAGTAAGGAATAAAGGAAAGATTCTGTCTGGAAAAGTAAATATTTGTTGAAAAATTTAATGAGTAAATATATTTAGAGTGCAGTGACACTTATTAGAGGTAGTTCTTGGACATTTAAAAAATTTTATTCACTTTATTTTTAACCAACAACTTTTGATTCTTCATTTAATTTCTTTATTTTTAATCAACAACTTTTGATTCTTCATTTAAATTTAGACATTTGTCTAGAAAATAATCTATTTCATTCAGACTTTTAATTTTTAGCATATTAATCTCACAATTTAAAAAATTACCTCCATGGAAAAAGAGAAAGCTCTGCAGTAGTTATTTTTCTGTTGTCAACAATGTCTTTTCTTTCCCTTTTATTTCTATCCTGTCTAAGGGAGAGGCTTCTTAATTTATGGTTCTATTAATTTCTAACTTTATTTGACTGTGGCCATAGAATGAAACCTGTATACTCTTTTGTTTTATTGAGATTATTTTTGTGATCAATATTCACAAATGTTTCCAGAGTTGAAGAAAGAGGTTGTCTTCTCTATAGGATACAAGGGACAGTAGATAAGGATTAGGCCTGGTGATTTACACCCCATTGCTTCACTCAGCACTTTTTTTTTTTTACTAGCTTGATCTAACACAAGTGAATGGCATTCGTATGCCAAGTACAAAAACAAAAGTAAAAGAACAACTGAATTAAGGGATATAGAAACAGAAAAGTCAAAATGCAAAAAGCCAATTATACAATTGGCATCTCTTTACAAACAGAAATATTATGTAAGGACAGGAACCTTATGTATATTTCTACATTGTTTTTTTGCTGAGAATTGAGCCCATAGTCTCATGCATGCTAGGCAAGCTCATTACCACTGAGCCACACCCCCAACTCATATATGAACATTTAACAAGCTTTTTTAATAGTGCCTAACTTTTTCATGTAGAATAAAATCACTTAATCTAAACAATAAAAATGATAAGTAACGTATTTAAATTTATCAATATAAAACACAGTAGTAGTTGATAGTAGTTACTTAAAGTCTAATTAAAATGTACATGCTTATCGTGGAGAATTAAGAGAGGGCAAGGTAGCAGAAATTCTAGCTCTGTCACTTACAGTAAATTGCTGCCTCAAATAATCAACTTTGTGTCCTCAGACACTCATCTTTGAATGAATAAGGTTTGCAGGTTGAAAACAAAGTATAGTTCCCTATAACTTGTAATTCATCATTTTAGAACTTGATCCTCTGTTACCATTTATATGAATTTGATGCTGATCTATCTTCAATTATTTTAAACAGAAAGAAAAATCAGCATTTAATACTTTCATATGAGAAAACATTTGCCAAAGTTATTACTTTTGACTTCCAAAAAATGAAATTTTGAATTTTCAAAAACCAGGCAGTACTTACTATGTTGAGATAGTCATATTAACAAAAATCATATTTCAAGGCATTTATTTATAGTTATTTTTAAGTAAACTTGTATTTTAATGTTCATGTCTGCCCAAATGCAAAGAATTAATACAAAATGTGACCATCAGCTGTGCCTAAAAAATGCATAATGAAGAAAACAAAGCAAAAGCTGATGTTTTAATAAATAAAACAGAGGTGCAATTTGCACTGTTACCACTGGGCTCTTACCTTTGCTTGTTTAAGTAATGTCTTCTTCTAGAAGTGGAGTCATTGGTGTAGACAAAACAAACAAGGATATATTGTAAATACTGACATTGCCAAAATGCTGGTCCAAAGATTTAAAAGTAATAAATGAGATGTTTTTTTCCTTTCTTTAAACATGCACAAATGTCTAGTTTTCTCATTTACCCTAGGGAAAGAAACAGTTCCATGGTGTTCACAAGGAGGATTTTCATGACTCAGTATCGGATCTGAGGATTTGTACGTGGATGAAAATAACAACCAAATCACCATTATCCTCTGCTTGAACCCCAGCTGACGAATATGTATGAGAATTAGAGACAAAAAGGCATTTCTTGAAGCTACATCTCTTAGTAAATTTGAGAGTAAAGCTCAGCTAATACTGCCAAATGCATCGTATTAAAATTATCCCGCCAGTTTTTCCCAAAGTTACAATCTTGAAAAAAACTGTCTAGGTTTTTACAAGTATGATTCAATTTTCAAATATACGACCATCCTGTTAAAAACTATTAAAATATAAGTAAGGAATACCTAGTTATTTGTTGACCTTTTAATTGTGCATTTTGTGGAAGAATTGCATATTTAAAATATATCTGGTCAAGAACTGAGCTTGTCTGAAAGACTAATTAATACTTCAATTTGTAAAAACAACCACAGTCTGCCAATTAATGTTCAAATATTACTCCAATGACCTGAAAGTACATTTCTGTAAGAATTCTTTTATGCAATGACAGTCTACCCACAAAACCTTTGCTTATGGCTGAAAATCAGACAGGCATGAAATAAATACTGTCTCCTTCTAACAAAATTACCCTTATTTTAATCTACCAGCTCCAAAACAACATAACTCTTTCTCTTGTAGTTTTTATCCTGTTGAATAATTAGCCATCAAAAAACTAAATAAGATTTATTGCCTCAGTGAATGATTTCAGTTCCCAGTAGGATAAGAGTCTCTCAAAAGAGCAGATATCCCAAGATGCTGAGAAAAAAACTTGGGATGTTCTGAGTACCTCAGGAAAGTAGGCTTTTGAGTTTCAGAATTTTAAAAGTGATTTTCTCTTTCTAATTAAAATATGAAACATGCTTAATCAAATTTTGGAATTAGAAAAATGAAGAAAAGAAAACTAGTCTTACCATTTAAGGATCACCAATATTAACATCTTGCTTCTATCAACTCATATATTCTCTAATAAATACATTTTCATTTCTATTTAATATTTCAATAATTTTTATATTACTAGGTATCTAAAGCATCCTTTTAAGAGTGCATGATATTTTGTTATTCTATTATTCCATAATTCATTGATTGATTTCCCTCTCATTGGGCATTTTTTTCTTTTGGGCTAAAGGATTTCAAAATAAATATTCTTATTCTTAATTCATTAAATATACATCTATGATTATTAAGTGTTTTTCTAGAAATTACATTACTAGACTGTATATTATCATTTTTATGACCATAATTTCATATTGCGAATGAGACTTCCAGAAAATTTGCATTTATCTTTGACTTTATAAAATTAAATAAATCATTATCATTGATATTTTATTCCTTTCTTTCAACTCATTGATCAATCAACGTTTTACCATATATACCACCTTTCTTTAATTATTTACAATCTTATATTTAAACACATACTGTTTAAGTATGAGTGCTTTTGATAAATCCATTTCTGTAATAAACTTCCCTAAACTAACCAATGCAGCCACTCGTGTCACAATTTAGTTTTATGCTAAAATGTTATTGTATCAGATCCTTTATATCATGCTCCTCTCTAAGAAAAGTGACATAATCTACTTAAGGAAATAAGCCCTTTGCCTTAAATAACAATAAAGGTAGTACCTTAAACCTGCCTCTATGAAAGTAATTGCAAACATTTTTTTAAAGCTTGAAATTGTAGTAAACATTACAGCATAAAGTAACATAAGTAGTGGCCACACACAAAGAGAAATTCTTTACTTTTCTCTGTGCTAAATTAATATTGTAAATCTTAAAACATTCTTACACAGCAGATGCTATATTTACTCCACTTTTATGGAGGAAGAAAGGAGGCAGGGTCACAGTAGTTGGTATTGTATCAGCTGGCTGGGTTCTCACCCAGATGAGGTAGCTGAATTTAGCAAATAAAAATATAGTACATCTCAAATATTGTTTGAGAGAAACTTATACTGAAAATTGTTGTTTATCTGAAATTCAAATTTTACTAGATGTTCTGTTTATTATCTGACACCCCTACACCTGGTCCCTCTAACTCCAGAACACCATATTGCTTTAGCCATTAGGAAGGTGAAAACACAAAAAAATTAGGTTACTTCTCTTGTTTCAGCAATGTGCCTCTAACAATGAGGGCAAAGCATTGTTACGTGTGGGAAAGCATTGCTGGTTTTCACCAACTGTGACACATTTATAACTTGAATGCACTTGTACACCTCTTAGCAAGTACATCACCTCCATACAAATGCAAAAAATCATATTTGTCATTATTACTTTTTATATTATTATTAACTAAAATAAATCACCTAAAAATAACCTTGGGAAATACTGGGAATTTGCTCCCATACCTAGCCATGGAACATTCACTTTCTCACGACTTGTCTGTCATTTGAAACTTTTAAAAGTGATTTGAAAGAGTTAAATAAAATGGTTGGAGCAATAATTCTACTAAACCTTTCTTCCTCCTGCCACCTTTCTTCATAGTTGACATTAAACTTGACATTATACACATGATAAAAGCGAGAGCACACAAGGGAGGGGTGAGGATAGGTAAGACACCTAAAAAACTAGCTAGCATTTGTTGCCCTTAATGCAGAGAAACTAAAGCAGATACCTTAAAGCAACTGAGACCCATAGGAAAAAGGGACCAGGAACTAGAGAAAAGGTTAGATTAAAAAGAATTAACCTAGAAGGTAACACCCACGCACAGGAAATCAATGTGAGTCAATGCCCTGTATAGCTATCCTTATCTCAACCAGCAAAACCCCTTGTTCCTTCCTATTATTGCTTATACTCTCTCTACAACAAAATTAGAGATAAGGGCAAAATAGTTTCTGCTGGGTATTGAGGGGGGGAGCGGGAGGGGGTGGAGTGGGTGGTAAGGGAGGGGGTGGGGGCAGGGGGGAGAAATAAACCAAGCCTTGTATGTACATATGAATAATAAAAGAAAAATGAAAAAAAAAACTTGACATTATAAAACAGCTTTTTCCCCAATGACTCATACACATGCCAAAAAAAAAAAAAAAAAAAGCTACATATTTGGGATGACTCATTCCTTTTATTTGGAATGCTTCTTCCTTTATTACCTCTTAGACTTCTTTCATCCCCCACCCCCTCCTAAACTAAGATTAAAGATTACTGGTTCTTAGGATAGTGAGTATTAGTTTTGTAGTTGTGAAAATATTATATAAGCTTTGTGAGACTCAACTTCCTTATCTATGAAATAGAAATACAATTTCTAATTAATTAGGCTTTTGTGTGTTTAAATGGAGCAAGATGATAGCATATCATCTCAATAATCATGCTCTCTCTATTTCCCTTCCCCTCTAAACTCTTAGACAACATCTGAACTGGAGCTTTATGACATGCTGTTTGGGCCTCCCCTGTGCCCAGTATGTCGCAATGGGAATTTTGATAGCCAGGTCTGTGTGACTATTAAGTAATGAACTTATGTAAAGACAGAGCCATTATTTATACCTTGTTTCTAAACAATTTATCATACAATTCTAACAAAACATGGCCAAATGAAACAATTCGTTTCCATTTTAAATGAAAGTCTTTATTGTGTACAGTGCTTAGCAATCATTTAGTCATGAAATTCATTAAGTGTTTGTTCATTCACTCAACACAATTCCTGAGTACCTACAATGAGCAGGGAACTGTCCTAAGGTCCAAGAGCACACACGAGTCCTTTCCTCAGAGACCATACCAAGGAGAGAGACAGGGAAGAGAAGAGATGCTTATGATACAGCGTGATAAACAATTGAGGAACCACATGCAAGGAGCCCAAAGATTTGGGGATGGAAGACTAGGGAGGTGGGTAATCTCTTAGTAGAAACTGCTGGTAAGTAGGAATTTTGTCTACATATATGTAACATACAAACTAGGATATCTCTTCTACCTACCCAAGTTTAAAAGGGAAGGGGTGTTATATTGTGTTTTGCTTTACTTTCCCCTCCAAAGTGTGATTAGTTTGACTCAGTATACCTATCACTGGATTTCTTTTCCTGAGACCTGTGGTAACCTTGACTGACAGAAAGAACACAGGCACATTGGATTACCTATTTAAAAGGCTACTTTTAATCTGGCTCCCTGACTTGCTTTGTCAGCTCCCTCTAAATCTTTATAATCCTATTTAAAGCACCTCTAAGTATAGATGCTAATTTGCATGAAACTTACTCTTTGTATTTTCATTTCAAAAATTATATGATCTGAGGAATTCTGGCTGTAAGCCGTAAATTATTAGATATTTGATAATCTACTTCCCAACATAATAAGACCTTCAGCCAGAGTGGTCAATGACAACTCTTTTGTGTTTATAACTGTAATTAAAAGTCATGAATTAATTATTTAATAACTAAATAGCTATCTTTCCTGTAAGAATTGTAAGAATACCTCTGAGTTTAGGAATTGTGTCTCTGGTGTTTATCCCTTAAGTATTATTGTATTTGTGATATAAAGCTCAATGTGATGCACAGTTATTCATTTAAAAAATATTTATTAAGTGCCAGACTTGCTTCTAAGCATTGAGGAGCCAGCAGTTTAAAAGTCTAAGCTTCTGCCCTCATGGAACAGGCATTCTAATGATGTGAAGAAGACGATAAACAAAGAAGTATACACGTAAGAAAGGTGGCGATCAGTGATATGGTAAAGAAGGTAAAGGGATAAAAAATAATATAGGGTTGGACAGGATTGTTTTAGCTGTGGTATTCAGGGAAGGCCTCATTTAGCAGAGACCCGAATATAACAGAGCCATGCGCACATCCAGGGCAAGTGCGTGCCTAGTAAGAAAATAACATGCACAAGACAGTGTTAGAGTGTTTAAAGAAAAGCAGGGAACCAGTGTTGCTAAGTTAGAGGAACAAGGGGAAGAAGGAG